TTTTTTGGCTTCATAGTTAAGGAGTTATTAAAGAAATAAGAGCAAAACGGCAGGTGTTGGGCGACATCTGTCGCAGAAAATTTCTTTTATATCGAATAATTCTGACTGGATCAAAAGAATTTCTGTGGTAGATAGTAGCTATGAACTTGCTCTCTCTGACAATGTAAATTGATGAAAACTTCGCTATCGATTTCCTCATCAAATCTTCCGATGATGTATAAACATACACTTTGACCGTTTTATGTCACGACAAATTAAATTGAGGCTACTAAAGGCTATTCACAAGCTAAATCAAACTTTTTTTTTTGGTTAATAGAGTGAAGAGCAAGAAATATTTTGGCAAAAAAAATTTTTCAAAAGTCTTCTGGATCAAACAAAAATCTAAAAATAAGACGGACAAGTGGCTGCTGTCTCGCTAAATGTCACGACAGATTTTATTATTTTGATTCTTCGATTTCTCATGAACAATGAGAGATCGATCGATGAATTTTTTATGTTTAGCAGCTAGTTGTGTAGTAAATCTATGGTGAAAGTTGCAGCTCTTAATCAAGAATTGTTTCCGAGAAAATCACATTTTACTCAAAAAATGTCACGACAGATTTTTTTGCATAAAAATGTCACAACAGATTTTTTTTGCATAAAAAAGTCACGACATATTAAAATAATATATCTTAAGTAGAAACAAGACTTTCTTTACTTGTATTGATTTATCTCAACTGAGAAATGTTTTATAAGTATTTGTGAGGATTGCTAGTGCGTCGAATAACCATTAGATCTGAATTTTATTCATTTACTATTATGTAAAACGCCTATAATTCATAAGAAACGTGAATGATCCCATGCTAATTGATTCTCATCATCTGCAAACCTAAAAACTCTTTTCATTTTGTTTCATATTAAATTACCATTATCAAGATGAGAAAAAAAAACAAAAAGAAAAACAATAATGCTACATATTGTCAAAAATATCGTCAAAAACTTCAACTAAAACGTTTGCAATCGAAAAATTTTGATAAGAAATTTCGAAAAAAAGTGGCAATGAGACAAGCATTATATCGAGCGAAAAAGAAACAACAGCAACAACAGCAATCAATACAATCAACATCAACAGTTACGATATCAAGAAATGATCTTCGAAAACGTGAAGGTTTACAACGTCGTCGTCAAAATATTGCAAAATTCAAATTACAGATACGCCAATTGCAAGATGCTAACGAAAAATTACAAATAGAAAATAATCAATTGAAAGAAAAACTAATTTCTTTAACATCATCATCATCACCAATGACAACAGTAACAACGACAACTCCATCATCATCATTACAGTCATCAAATGAAGACATTACACCAATTAGATCACCAATATCACCATCAACACTGTTTTTTCAACATATTAGTCCAAATGCAAAACGTCGTGCTACAGCACGTATGATGGTTGACAAATCGGATTTACCACGTGGCAGTATAAATAGTGTTCGAAAGAAATTTGGATTTAATGTAAGTTATCGATTATTTTATACCGCTTCTATTACTGAGAAGTGTTGATAATTTAGTTGTCCAACCAAAATTTGCCACCGAAAACAACAACAATATCATCAAGAGAACTTACTGAAGCTATTGAAAAATTTTTGAATGATGATGATAATACACGATTAACACCAGATAAAAACAACATTATAGATGGTAAACAAGTTCGATTTCTCTTAAATCATCTTATCAATCTTCATCAGAAGTTTATTCTAAATACAAATATTGATTGTTCGTATTCAACTTTCACCAAACATGTTCCATCCTATATTGTTTCACCGAAACCAGACAATTGGGGTACTTGTCTTTGTATAACTTGTTTAAATCCACAAATTAAAGCTGAAAGAATAAATCAATTGAAACATAAACATTCGATTTTGAGTGGTTTGTCATCCTTAATTGAAAATGATTTAATATCAGTTGCTTCTGATGATAAAAAGGTTGAAGATATTTTGAAAGAACTGAATTTGCTAAAAGCAGAATCTTTTATGGTTACTTATGTGGAATGGGTCCAAATAAAAAGTCACAGAAGTAGTGGTCTTATTTCAACGAAAAAAACTATGACAAATGAATTTGGTGTATTTTGCTCGAAACTTATTGATGAAATAGCTGTGAGTATATCCAAAGAGAAACAAAATGAAGTGGAAAGAATATGTTGTCATTGAGTATTTAATATTTAGAAACTTGAAGAACATTTGCAACTGGTTCATGCTCAATTTAGAGGTGCTAAATTACTTCGTCAATCGGCATTAATAGATGAAAATGTAATTACTATGCAAATCGATTGGTCTGAAAATTACAATTTAAAGCAAGCCAGAGAGGAACGCTGTGCGTTTTGATGAAAATTTAGTTATTGCTCCTTAAAGATGTTCAGATTTTTGTTTCTTTTAGCGGCCTACTATTTCGAACAGCATATTTCTATAGCTACTGGATATATTTGGAGGAAAGACAGTTGTTTCAGCTTTGGATGTTTATCGGATGACACACGTCATTTATTTGAAAGCACATGGGCAGCCATTCGTGGTTTATTAGAAGAACTGTTGAGTGGACAAGAGAACAGACAAATTACTGATTTGAATATCATATCTGATTCTCCATCAAGTCAATATCGAAACAAAACCACTTTTTTCTTTTTAAAACATTATGCTACCCATGTAAACACCAGACGCAAAATATACGCGTCTGATCGCAGTTTGTTTGTAAACCGCGTTCAGTCGCGGTAAAAATCGACTTTTACTCCGTCTGAACGCGTGTTAATTTAGCACCGCGTCTATACGCAGCTGAAAAGTTTTTTGAAATGCGTTTGGACGCGAGTGCAAATAAAAACGCGTTCAGACGCGGTTACAATCGGTTTTCACCGCGTTTGAACGCGCTTTCATTTAGCATCGCGTCTATACGCAGCTGAAAAAGTTTTTTGAAACGCGTTTCGACGCGAATGTAAATGAAATCGCGTTTGTACGCAGCTGAAAAAGTATATTGAAATGCGTTTGGACGCGAGTGTAAATTAAAATGCGTTCAGACGCGGTCACAATTGGTTTTCACCGCGTTTGAACGCGCTTTCATTTAGCATCGCGCCTATACGCAGCTGAAAAAGTTTTCTGAACCGCGTTTCGACGCGAGTGTAAATGAAGTCGCGCTCAGACGCGGATAGAAATCGATTTCTATCCGCGTCTGAACACAATTGCATCTAAAAAGCATCCAGGTGTGGTCATAAGAG